GTCTCCATATTAAATCTTGCATCTGGTCACATTCATTTCCAGATTCATAGTCTTACTCATCAAGACTTGAATCAGATCTCAATCTCTAAAAATCTAGCATAGTATAGAGGGATCATACTTTATTGCAAAATCTAAAATCCATCTAAAATGAGCTTTTTTTTTTCACAAGAAGGGGGAGACAGAAAATACAAAGCGACGGATATGAGGTTCTATTTTTTCTTTCATGTGCATTTTTCATTCCACTATTATTAGCCATATAGTGTATACATCATGATCTTGATGTATTCTTTTTTTTCTTCTTCTGAACGATATATGTGTTTCTGATTTTTACTGATGCATGTAGCCATCGGCTAAACATATATTGTAATAAATAATTAACATTTTATTTTGTTTTATGATATATAGTGCATATAACCATCTCGTTCTCGTTCTTGTTCTAACATTTTATGATATATATATATATATATATATATATATATATATATATATATATATATATATATATATATATATATATATATATATATATATATATATATATATATATATATATATATATATATATATATATATATATATATATATATATATATATATATATATATATATATATATATATATATATATATATATATATATATATAATTCTATTTTTATTATTAGATTATTTGGATTGAACCATGTTGATACGCTGTTTGTATATTGGTGTGAATGATGCGTGACATTTGCGGTGGTTCGATCCGGTTGCGATGATCACATTTTTATGTTAGAAACATTATTATTATTATTATTATTATTATTATTATTATTATTATTATTATTATTATTATTATTATTATTATTATTATTATTATTATTTTAACATGTTTTAAAATTCCTTTTGCTTTAGATTTTTTTATAAATTTAGATCCACATAATTTTTGACCCCCTTGCCTTGATCGGTTTATTTGCGATGTGCTATATTTATTTATCCTTCTATTTCAATTTTATACTCGTCCAACGGTTTAGCATAGTGACAACCCACTTTTTCCTCTTACTGATTCGTGTCTCGATTTGCAATTTGTGGTTTTTTATTACCTTGTTGTTCCTTGATTCGATTTGGGATGACCACTAATGCGGTAGCAATTTATATTTTTCAATTTGTGCTAATTTTTGACGATCCAACATCGTTATGATTATATCAGATTAAATTTCTTTTGGTAGCTTCGCACCCTTCGCGTTATTATTCATTTCCATCATATCAAACCATTTTAAAAAAATATCAAACAATTCTCGATCCAATGTCGAGTCTTTTTTCACACCCTTGTAAGTCGATTACCTTGTGCACCGCCATTAACCAAGCACAAACTCTTGATCCAACGTCAAATGGTTTCTTCTTTTATAAGTCAGTTTCCTTTTACAATTGTCATCACGCAAATTCAAACCTCGATCATATATCGAGTATTTTTCTCAATCAAAATCAAGACATGTAATCATTGTCAAACACTATTTTCATAAAATCGAGGAGGGGTTTTGAGTCTTCAAAATTTCTCCTCAATTGTTTGGATGCGAGATATCTTTCTCGGGTTCAAACAAATATTTTCTTAAAATACTAAATGATATTTAAAACACTTTTCACTAAAGTTAAACAAGAGAGTGTGGAGTTTTTTTATTCTTCTCTTTCAATTGTTTGGATACGAGATATCTTTCTCGTGTTCGACCAATTGATATCTAAAATACACACCAATAAATCGTAGAGGCGAAGTACAATTGCTCTTATTTTTCCATTGCACGAAGGAATACTTCAAGCCGAGTCGTTTAATCCACGAGAGGATTTTTACATTTGGGGTTTAGTAACTGGCGGAAAGGGACCAAATGGATGTTTATTTGGTGTTGGAGCTTTGGTCGATGGTATGAGAAAATGGGACATAACTCTATTTCAAAGAGTTAGAGATGGGGAGGGAACGTCACATCCACCACAATTGACCCGCGAGATGCTAGAAATGGTAAGACAACTGACGCTAACTGAAGCGAGACGCGAAACGGTGGTCCAAATGGATGAGCAACAACGTCAAATAGAGACAATGAATAAGAGGCAAGCTGAAATGGAGGCGATGATGCGCCAATTTATGCAATCACAAGGTGGCAGTAATCCAATTGTTGGAAATGGAGTGGGTGGTCAACAACAATTGTAAGGTGAGGATAACAATAATTTTGACATTGATAGTTTTACCGATCCGGATTGATTCGAATCATTTATTGTAATTTTAAATTTTTATTTTTGTAAAAATTAATTACATTTTAGTATATTATACACTTTTTTTAAAAAATTTATTCCTAATTTTGGTATTTATTTATATTTATTAAATTTTCAATTTAAATTATTATTGAAAATAATTTAAAAATAATTTGTATTTATTAATTTTTCAATTTAAATTATTATTGATTTTTTTAAATAACTTGTATTTATTAATTTTTCAATTTAAATTATTATTGAAATTTTTTCAATAATAAATTTGTATTTTAAAATAATTAAAAAAACAAACTATAATTTTAGTTTTAAATTTAAATAAAAATATAAATTATGTTTAAACGTACCAAAAATTTAACCAATTTAAAAAATTAAAAAAACAATAGATATATCTTCTTATAAAGTCGTAAATTAATATGATGCCCCCACAACATAAAGTTTCTTATTCCATCCATGGTCGTCGACAATGATAAATGGCAAAACACGTTCCCAACAATCATCATGTAACTAAAATTCAGGTATCTTCTTATTCTTCATGTTTACTGTAAATAAGCGTTTTATGATAAAGGAAGATCTGAGAAAAACATTCCTCTTCCTTCTGGTAATATTAATACATGCCGCCACTGATTTGGTGAAGTATAAAACAAACTGAACTAGGTTTTACTGCGAGAGATTATACTCACCACAATACTACGTCTATGACCTAATTTTGAATGTTTTTTTATAAGAAATTTTTATTCTATTGGTTTTCCAAGCATCCACTTTAATATTTTATAAAAAATCTAATCTCAAGAAATTAATTTTTTTTTGAAGATTATATTATTATGTTTGATGTAAAATGTTTATATTATATATTAAAACGTAATTTAATTTTGAGTGTTATTTATAACTAGTTAAAATAAAATTTATATATATATATATATATATATATATATATATATATATATATATATATATATATATATATATATATATATATATATATATATATATATATATATATATATATATATATATATATATATATATATATATATATATATATATATATAAATGTTGAGATTAAATCATATCTTTCACTTAATCGTGTGTTAAAAATCTAAAAAAATCGAGCGCTTTTAAGAGGAAAGAGAAATTAATAATCAATTTTAAATATATATTTTAATTAAATCGTTCAAATTCATTTTCATATTCTCGTATAACTATTGCATTCTCATATGATATGTTATATATATATATATATATATATATATATATATATATATATATATATATATATATATATATATATATATATATATATATATATATATATATATATATATATATATATATATATATATATATATATATATATATATATATATATATATATATATATATATATATATATATATATATATATATATATATATATATATATATATATATATATATATATATATATATATATATATATATATATATATATATATATATATATTTTTTTTTTTTTTCTTACTCTAATTTTAACTTACTCCAAATCATAGATTTTAAATTGAAACCAATCTAATGGTTAAATTAGCCTTTTACTTAATTAACTATTATATTAGATTCAATTGAAAGACTATAATGTGGAGTAAGTTAAAAAAAACGTACTCTTGAAATGAGTTGATCCCTATATATATATCCATAATTGATCCCTATATATATATATATATATATATATCCATAATAACTCTCCAAAGAACCGCACACCAGATATATAATACCTTTGAATTTAATCTAATTTAATGGTTAAATTAGTCATGTTACTAAATAATCATTAGATTCAATTCAAATGTTATAATGTGGAGTAAGTTAAAAAAACTTACTCTTAAGATAAGTTGATCTCCACTATATATATATATATATATATATATATATATATATATATATATATATATATATATATATATATATATATATATATATATATATATATATATATATATATATATATATATATATATATATATATATATATATATATATATATATATATATATATATATATATATCCATAATAATTCTCCAATCAAAAACCTTTATCTTTATAAACATATGAGCAACCTAAATCAGGCTACACATGTTTGCAAAGGAAGAAGCAGGAGAATGAAGACTATTGAATTCAACAATTTTTTAATAGCATGACCTAAGGCTTTTGATTTCTCATGAACCCAAAGAACTTCATCTTCTTTATCCTTGGTAACATCATGAATGTTGTCTACAAAATTCTCTCAAATCTCACCTCGATTCCCAAATCACCTCATACTCACGAATTGTTAACCAAAGCATCCATATTAGTCATCATTTTAGATTTCAACTCGCTACCACTGAGAAGAAGTAAAATTATTTTACACATATTGCATATCTAAATTTTTTATAAATATTTTAAAAAAAAACTATTTAAAATTGAATTTTATGAATAAATAGATAAAAATAAATCTAAACATTCCATAGCCGCTAACAAAATGAAAATAGAAAGCAGAAAATTGGATAGTTGTAACATAATTTTAGTTTGTTTCATATAAACTTGAAACCAGTGGCGGCACAAAACTCATTCCATCATTCATCTTCCATCGACATTTTAAATATACTGATATTATTTAGACTCTATCTCTATCTCTCTCACATATAAATATTCATATATGTCTCTAAAATAAATATTCATGTATATGTACTTGTAAAAGGAAATATTTCTAAAAAAATTGTTTTAGACATGAAAAACAGTGTCGTGGCCAACGAAAGCATGAGCAACAAGAGCGCGATGGCCTCGAAGAAGAACAAGATCAATAAAAACCTCAAACGGTAAACAAAAATGACTCTGAGGTGCACACATATATAGCACATAATACTTAGTATGATGATAGTTATGTTTTGTGTTGCAATGTAGTGTGAGGAAGCTGTCTGAGATGACAGAAAAGCTGAGCAAATATTTGCTTAATGGTGTTGGCATAGTTAGTGGGACAGTGATGGCTCCTTTAGTTAAATCCCAACCAGGAAAGGCACTTTTAAGGATGTTACCTGGTGAGGTGCTGTTGGCTTCATTTGATGTTGTCAGTAAGTAAAACCAAGTAAAAACACTTGATGAAAGAACCCTTTGTGTTCAATATTCTTTCTTTCAAATAAGGAATAGTAGCATGGTCTTGACTTTTCTATTTCCGTTGTTATGTTATGCTGCAGACAAAGTTCTAGATGCAGCTGAAGCTGCTGAAAAACAAACTCTTTCTGCTACCTCAAAAGCTGCATCCAGAATGGTCTCTAACAGGTATGGGGAAAATGTTGGGGAAGCTACTGAGCATGTGTTTGTAACTGCTGGACATGCTGCTAACATTGCTTGGAATGTCTTTAAAATTCGAAAAGCCATCAATCCAGCTTCATCAGCAACAAAGGGTGCACTGAAAAATGTTGTCAAGAATACAAGTTTTAAGCATTAAATTCTATTTAAGTTGCACTGAAAAAATCTATTGATGACTTTGAGGCAAATCCTATCATTCACAATCCTCATGCTTTACCTCTATTTAGAGATCAGCCAAGCCGCAAGCGTCATCGAGAGAAGGTATTAAAGGATCCATTGAAGTCACATATGCCTGAACTACCCCTGACAGGACCTGGATTTGGTGGACGAGTTGGTACAAGTCAAGGAAGCTTACTGACCCAGTATCTACTAAAGGTTAATGGGTATTTCTTATCATATTTTCTTGACTTCCCAGTCTTCATGCTTTAGAATATGACAATTGACGGTTATATTTTTATGTAACTGCAGAAAAGGGGTTTGATTAAAGAGACATGGATGGATGAAGATCCAAGGGAAGCTATCCTAAAATATGTTGATGTTGCAGCAAAGGAGCCAAAGTTCATAGCTCCAGCCTATGCCGAAACTCAACCTGAGCCATTGTTTGCGAAGTCAGATTCTGAGGATGAAGAGAAATGAGTTATGCAATTACAATTTCTGATACTATAGATGGTCAATGCAGAAGGAACAAACCCAGACAAGAGTAACTCAGAACTCAGTAGTGGTTTACTTGTTCCAAATCCAACATGCAAAGTCGAGCGTTCCCGGCACCAGGACAAAGCTTAGTTAACGCAGCCGAGAAAGATGTTGAATGTAGCAGCTCTACAAAATTTTATGGATTTTCTTGGAGCAATATTAATATCTGTACATTCTGTCATATGTAAAATTGAATTTTGAAAACTATTCTAACCCTATAATCTTAGTTTTGAAAACTATTCTAATGAAAATGCTGAGACTATGGTAGAAGAGATAGATCTATATGCTTGGATTTTAGTAGGAAAGTTGTTAGCACAGACAACTTATGGGTAGCTTCAATTATTACAATACTGAATTAACAATTGAGAATCACAGATTATTCACATTCATTTTAAAAGGAAACTATCTAAACTAAAAGCAAAGTATTTCCTAATTTCCTACCACATCATCCAAATGCAAGACTTCCTACTTTCTAGGTGTACTTCCTACTTTTTAGCTTTTACACCGTCGAGATGGTAAAATAGCTTGTGTTGAACATCTTTTTTATTCGAGTCATTTTTTTATCTTAACATGTTGGGATAATTCAAATTGCAGACAATGAATTTTTTGTTGGCTTGTTGCTGTTTTTGATGCCTGAAGAAAATGCCTTTTGGTAGGTCTCGATAAAGCTTCCTTAGATTTCTAGAGTATATACTTCGAATTTGCACTTCTTCAATGTAGCTTCATAATTTTAAATGTTCCTGTATTTGTTGAGCTTCACTGTCATGAAAGAATGTGATAGAAACCTGGTATTTATAGTGAGTGAATTAAAGAAAAGAAAATAGAAATGATAGAACAATTTTCTGTAGAATTTGTCTTAAACAACCGTTTATATTTTAATATAGAATTAACACATTTGATTCTACTGGTGCAATATATAATGTAAGCAGGGTCCTTAGTATCATATTTGTATTTCACTATGGATTGAGCTTTGCATATTGTCAAATAATTCAAAATCTCATGTATATGATCTTTTTATTCCATACAAGCTTACGATAAAATTGTATGTTACTAAATGAATCATGTATAAATATTACTTTAAAAAATTAAAAGTCTAAAATTTTGATTATGTATTTCAACATTTTCACTATAATGTTTAAAATGTGATTGAAATACTTCATAAAGTTACACGAAATACCATCAGTTAGATTCAAATAAATAAAAACCTGCATAAATATTACTCTTAATATGCATTTGAATATACTTTTTTCTTGTGAAATTTGAATTCGATAAGATTATATTTTTTCTCATACCCGTTCGGACGCACGGGTCTTCTACTAGTATTATTCTACAAATTGAGATATTTGGATACTCAAGAAAATATTATGTTTTACTTTTTCATATCATTGGTTTTTGAATCTAATTTGTTAAGGATTAGAAGTTAGTATGAATGTTTTCGTACACAGCGGAAACCTCTGTTTTATCATAGACATGACATACAGTATGGTGGAAACATCATACTTAAACTAAGATATGAGAATAGTTTAAAGAAAATGAATAGTATTTCTAATATGCATGTTTGATTTCCTTTATTGTTCATTGTGTTGCATAATGATGTCCCATATATAACATTGTAACCTCGTAATAAGTCATAACCAACCATACCGATAAAATGTGAACATCATAACTTCAAAGTAAAACCTTTTCTTTAACACTAATAATAGATAACATACTCAAATTTTGGGCTGATTTCAAATTAGTGAAATTACTATTTGTTCTTAATTTAACTATTTTGAAATAATCACAATATTATAGAGAAATTTGAATTTGTCATCATTTAGCAGTCATAAGGTTATCAGGTTATGTTTCCAGTTATGATAATGTTCACTTTTCTTGGCATGGCTGGGTAGGGTTTAGGAAGCGACAATACTGCTCTGGAGGAGAGCCATGGAATCCCACAGTGCTTCTGCTGCACTACGATTCACGGACGCAAACATAAACATCACGGAACATAAACATCACGGAGAACTGACATTAATGCAAAGATATGAGAATATGATTACACGTGTCAGTGTTATATATATATATATATATATATATATATATATATATATATATATATATATATATATATATATATATATATATATATATATATATATATATATATATATATATATATATATATATATATATATATATATATATATATATATATATATATATATATATATATATATATATATATATATATATATATATATATATATATATATATATATGACAATGACACATACTCCAATTACAACACTAAAACTATATACCATTGGTATAACCTGCATTAATAGCTAGCAAAACTTCAGTTCAGAAGCCCCACTCTAACCTCAACCACAGTTCCATACATGCATGCATTTTGAATCACGTCCTTTATTTCATCCTACATCATCCATTTTGTTTCATGAATGTCAATCTCCCTTCATCCTAAATTCACATTTCCATTATAAATTCATTGACCGCAGGCTCAATCCCTCTCACCTTGGCATCATGTATACTAATACAAATGATTAAAATTTAAATTGAAAACAGCTCTAAGGATAGGCCACAGCAGACCGAAATGGCAGTGTGATTAACCTGCAGGCTGCAGTAGATCGTAACAATAGTGTGGAAAGGCCGCACCAGGCTGAAAAATCTCCCTGCACTAGAACAAACCAGAAACGGCAGACTCGACCAGCTGCTGCAGAGCACACCCGTCTTGACCACACTCCACGAAACCAGACTGCAACAGAAACCCACGACTAAACCGCACGGTGCCTCACACTACACCTCAAAGTGAAACATTGTCTCTTAAGCTACTCTGTAGGACGAACTCGATCATGAAAGATCTCCCTCTACAATAAAAGAGAAGAACTCATTGAGACAATGCATAATTTCTTGGTTTCTCATGGATTGCAGGAGAATCACCATCTTTGATTATGAATGTGCAATGAAACAAAACAACATAGAGCAGAAAATTCTAACATTTCAATTATAGGTGAATTATGTATCTTTGGAGGACAATTTATCCTTGGAGGACAAGCTTCGAGAAAGCTGGTTCTTCTTCCTCTACAAAATAGAAGAGCAAAACTCATCAACTACAACAAAAGGTAAATCAAGAAACAAGTATTCTTTAACCAGCTAAAAATATGATATCTTCTATTCAAAGAGAAAAAAAAAGACTAGAAAATTCAATGAGAATCACATAAGGTGCAGAGGTGCAGAAGCTAAATGAGTTCAAAATCGTTAAAAATGAAATGCAGAACTTTCGCCACACTCCCTGGTTTTCGGTTTAAACCACTTCCACTAGAGTTCCACTAGAGTAAGCGTGTCATTCATAAGTAATCAAATCTACTTTCACTCTCACATCACTATTCATTCTCTCACTAACTTTCACTCTCTCACTAACTTAGACGTCAGTGTTATCCTAACCCTGCAAGTGAACCCCTCTCCGTCTTACCAGAAGTTTCCTCCAAAAATTAAAGAACCCAAAAAATTACCAATCTCATGAAACATTTTGATTTTAAACATCCAAATTTCAACATTACTGCACAAAAAAAATCAGGATAACTATAACAGAAGATACCTTGGAGGGAAAGCTTCTCCAAACCATCCTGGATACTGAATAACTTTTGGTTTATCACCGAGCTTATAAGAAACACCATCTTTGATTACGTATGTGCAGCGAGTCATGACAACTTCTTCAATAAATTTACAATTTTTAAAAAAATAAAAAACTGAAATCTCATTGATATAGGAGCTACCAGAGAGATTAACCTTACGAAGTTTAAGAAGGGCTAATGAAAGAGAATTTATATCAAAACCAACAATATCAATAATCTGATGAAAACTAAGATCAAGTTCTTCAAGTGAAGGAAAAGAATCAGCAATAATAATTAGGTCAGATTTAAAGATAGAAGCAACATGAGAACATATCAATGAGGTTAAAGATTTGATCTTTCTACCCAAAACTCGCAACCCATTTGCGGGAATTGTGGGGCGGTTAGAGATATTAATCGATTTGAGAGGTAATTGGACATTGGCGATTTGGTAGAGAATCGCGTCGAGGTTACCGCGGAAGCGCGTGAGATCGATGGAGGTGAGATTGGGGAAGCGGCGGAGGAGACTAGGAACGAAAGGGGCGGCTTGAGTTGAGATTGTGAAATGGATTTTTTGAAGGCCGGTTAACGCGCGTAACTGTTTTGAGACGGCGGAGAGAGATTGTAAGTGTAGGCAACGGTTGTTTCCGTCGTCATCGCCGTCGTTGAGGAGTGCGAAGATAGATTCCCAGCATTCATTTGGTAAAATAACTTCTTCTGCCATTGTTTTGTTTTTGCTAGTGATTGATGTAAGACTTAAGTGTGATTTTGTACTAATTTTCTCTTTTTCTTCATTCATTAAAAGAGAGGTTTTTTTTGGATCAATTTTTTTATTTAAAATCATTCATCTAAATTCTTTTTTATTTTTTTAAAAAATATTTAAATAAGTACTTTCATATATATTAATTTTCCTATTTTAGTATGATGTTGTGTTGGTCGTCGTTTTATTGTGGCAGTTATTTTGTTTTTTTTATTTTAGTGTTTTGTTTGTTCGGTTCAGATTGATAAATTAGTTTGAATCTCTGTATATATTCAATAATGATTTTGACGTCATCAACATTGCACACTCGAAGACATGAGTATTTTGAATATTTCAATTTTATCATATTTGTAGACATTTTACCATTATCTATTATTAACATGAGTGCTATGAATTTGTTCGCAAATTTATCTTTCACTTTATAGTGATTATGAATTTGTATTATTTAATATATTCTATTTAGGATGATTTTTTAGTAAAATAATGTTGTGATTTTGTTGATATGAATATGTAATCTAAATCATATATATATATATATATATATATATATATATATATATATATATATATATATATATATATATATATATATATATATATATATATATATATATATATATATATATATATATATATATATATATATATAAAATGAAAAATGAAAAATAATGTTCCTTTCTTCTTACATATTATTTGACTTAAGAAATGTCATCTAGTAAAAAAAAATTATGCTCGTATCTATCTATTATCATTAAAAAGTCTTCAACTCATTCATTAGAGGAGACATGGAACAATTGTGAATAAATTTATGCTCACATCTTCAATTGAATGTTCAACCACATTCTCATTTGGAGCAAAACCTCCATGAGTAGTGGATGATTTAGCATTATCAAAATTAGACAGTGGAAAAGTAACAATATCAAGCATAACAGAATCAATATTATCAGATGCAATGACAGGCTCAACAACATAAAACTCAAGGAATTTTACATGCATGGACTCCACAATTTTACTACCTCTACCATGACAAAAGAATATGTATCCTTTAGACCGATTCAAATATCCAATGAAAAAACAACGACTTGTTTTTGGGTCAAACTTTGTCTCAAAAGGATTATATATGTTAATATCTGCAGGGCAACCCCAGACTTAAAGATGGTTTAAACTGGGTTTTCTACCTGTCTATAGCTCAGAAGGTGTTTTTAGAACTGATTTATTAGGAACTCTATTAAGTATATAAAGGGTTGTTTTCAAAGCGTCATCCCATAAAAATTCTGGTAAATTACACCTACTCATCATATCCTCAAGGGTGCGGTTTCGCCTTTCGGCTACACCATTTTGTTCAAGAGTACCGGGTATGGTGTATTGTGGAACAATTCCACAATCTTGCAAGTATTTTGCAAAAGGACCCATGTGTTTCCTAGTAGAATCATATCTACCATAATACTCTCCATCATTATCAGAACGTATCACTTTTCCTAGTTACTTTTCAACCTCAGTTTTAAAGATTCAAACTTTTCAAGTGCTTCTGATTTTTTCTTAATCAAGTAGAAATGACCATATCGAGAAAAATCATCAATAAAAGTGATAAAAGATTTATTACCACAAATAGTAGGAGAAAGGGGGCCACTAATGTCTGTATGAATTATTTCCAAAATGTCTGAACTTCTAGTAGAACCTTTCTTATTGGTCTTAGTAAATTTTCCTCTAATGCAATCCACACAAGTTCTTATATCATTGAAATCTAAGGAAGGTAAAATATCATCTTAAATTAACCTTTCAAGTCTTTCTTTGGAGATATGTCCTAAATGCTTGTGCCACAACAAAGAGGATTTTTCTCTAATTTTAGATCTTTTAGCAATGGAGCTTTCAACATTTAAGAATGAGGACGTCATATCACAATCCAAAGATAACTTATATAAACCATCCACTAAGATACCATTACCAACAACTTGAGAATTCAATATCAAGTTTATTTTTCCATCATAAAAGGTAAATTGAAATCCAAACTTATCCAAACAAGATACTACAATCAAATTCCTCCTAAAAGAAGGTGCATAAAATGTATCTTTCAAAATAAGTTCAAAACCAGTTTCTAAAACTAAGCTAACATCTTCCACTAGATTCATAATAACTTCAAGATCATTTCCTACTCTGAGTTTGCTTTCCCTCAAGTTTGGTCTCCGCTGGTTTCTGAACCTCTGTAAGGAGATAACAATATGGGTTGTAGAACCACTATCAAACCAACAAGAATTAATGGGAACATCATCTAAGTTAGACTCAAAATAGACAAAAGCTAAATGATTACCTCCATATTTGTTCTTTTTATCTAACCAAGCTTTAAAAGCATGACAATCAGTTTTCTTATGTCCCTTTTTCTTATGAGAAGCACTATGAGTGTTTTTATTATTTTTTCAAGAATTCTTACCAGAATGGGGTTTAACATGAAAAGTCAGGAGAGCTAGATCATTTTTTTCGTTCTTGAGTTTTTCTTCTTTAGCTACACACTTGGTAATGAGGTTATTGATTGTCCACTTATCACCAAATGTATTATAGGCAGATTTGATTTGAGAGAACTCAACAGGTAGGCAATTTAAGGCATGAGACACAATAAAATTCTCATTCAGGTCAATGTCAACAGGTAGGCAATTTAAGGCATGAAACAACTCACGACACCCCATTGTTATCATATTTCATGTCCGTGAGTTGTTTCATTAAACATCCAGATTCAGCATTATCAGATGCATGAAACCTCTCTCTAATAGCAATAAGATATTCTTTGCATTCTCTTTCTCAGGAAATCCATTTATCAGATGTTCAGAAATTGTCCTCTTCATAACACACAAGCTAAGTCGGTCACTCCTCTCCCACTTAGCTAATTTTTCTTTCTCTTCAAGTGTACTCGAATCATTGATCACAGGTTTGGTTTCACACAATGTCATGCCAAGGTCAACAATCCCTAATAAAAATTCTAAGTCTTTCTTCCATTTCTTAAAATTAGACCCATTTAGGATCTCAATAGAAGCATAACAATTGTTCATAGAGAAGGTCACTATTGAGACAAAATAGGAATGCATTAGAACAAATAATAAAGGCAAGATATATCTTTAATGAACATAAGCTATCATGAAGAGGCCAACATTATCACACAAACCCCTTTGGGTGGAATGCGTAAAACCCATATTACAACGAAGGTCAGAATCGCAAATGAGTCGCTCAACGAGCATACGTTGGGTTCGAAAATTTATCTTATTTGGGTAGATAAATTCTCTAAACCAAAACACATCCAACAAATTCATCTACTCATTGAGCATACGTTGAGTTTACAAATTTATCTTCTTTGAGTAAACAAATTCCTTAGACCAAAGCATCTCCAATAATTATATCTTTAATCAACCACAATCTCCATATATAATTGTCCATAAATGACTTAAAACCATTCCTCAAACTAAAAAGAGACTTTTATAAATTTGAATTTTGAATACAACCTTCCTTTCTTTAATGGTTTTAACTTATTGATTCTACGGAAAAGAAGCCTTCACAACGCTCTTGGCATTTTTGTCTTTGAAATTAGGTATTTACCAAGTTTTAAGATGTTGTAAGATTAGAGGTTTGAACTAAGGTGTTACATGAAATGAACTTTGATCTTTCTAAATTAAAGGGATTGAACATTGACGATGAAACAATTTATGTGATTTCAAAGAGAAGTTTTAAACTTTTGCAAATGTTACTTTGAATATTGTTTGTTTCAGCTTTTTCACGTTGGAGTTGTATTATTAGGTCCTACAAACATCCATGGAGTCAGCCCTTCTACCATTATAATTACCTATATGCTATATTTTTTCAACCCGTACTATACCACTACATACACCAGCATAAAAACTTATAAATTTATTTTATCAAAATTTTCAATTAATTCCATAAATGAGAAGTTTATAAATAACAAATCTATAAAAAAGATTTAAAAAATAAAAACAATACATATTTTACAATTTATTTATATTTAATATAAGTTAGTAAATTTAAATTTAATAATATTTTTTTATCAAAATATTAATATTTAATTTATCATTTGAAAATAGACGAATACTTCCGTTTTAAAAGTTTATAAAACTAACACATACAATGTTCGCAACATGAAAAATATGAAAAGGTATTTTGCACTCTTCTAATTACTTAGAAAGCATGACTTCATTAATTGTCGCAAACATAGGGATACATAGACATAAATATTAAGAACAAATTATAATAAATAACATACAATATAATTCTAAGAGATACATTCACTTAATATAATCTCAAAGATATTTTTTTAATATTCCAACAATTTGATCAATCTGAAGATATTGTGAGTGGCTAAGTTCCGAAATAAAGTTAAAATATTCTCTTAATCAAGTGTAAAAAATGAATCTCTTGAACTTAAACAAGCGACACAAAGGAGCAACTTAGTATTCACTTCTGTAAAACAATTATTCAACTCTTGAAATTGTCGATCAATCATTTCATAAAACGATTCAACTTGAAAATGATGTAAATTAGATACTTTCTCCATTTTTCTGTTTAACTTTTTGTGTGTTAGTTGAAAAGTGTCATCCATATCGAATGTCAATATCATTATACTCACAAAATAATGAAACATCATTCAACAAAAAATCTCAATCATTATCTCTTATAACTTGTAGCCTTATTTTGGACACTTTTACTAACTTCATAGCATTTACAATATCTAGATCACTTCTTTGTAATGCTTGAGATAAATCATGTGTAATTCCTAAAAATATTTTCATCAAGTGGAAGATGAAAATAAATTCAATAGATTGCCTATAATTCATCAGTATTAGTGTTTCACCTTTTTTTAATCTAAATCTGTTCCATCTTCCTCAAGCCTTTCTAGCACATCAATCATAGAAAAGAATAGAGAAATTATACAAAGTAATGTACCATAATTTGACATCCATCTTGTT